GGGGATAACAGTGCAGATTAACTCGGCCCTGAACCAAGTCGGCAGGTCATCTGAGACTCGGAATATTCTGGTCCCTCTTGCAAACTATGGGGCCCTCACCCAGGCTTTCACCTGTGGTTCCCAGGAGCCCGGCTTCTGGACTTTCCTTGGCCTCTTTGCCTTCACAGGGCCCCACTCTCACCGCACAGCATATATCCTGGTGCCCCGGCCTTCGCCTTCTCCCTTCCTTCTCTCTCAGTCGCACATCCATCTTCCCCCAAATCTACTTTTCTGGGTGGCGAGGACTTCCCTGGTGGTTTTCCAATAGACACCGTGTAATCAAATGAATGCTAGATCCCAAGTGTGGACCCCTGGGGTCAAGTCCAAGCCCTGCTTCCTACTGGCCACGTTAGCCTAGACCTCCCTCCTCTCACACAGGAGGTGAGGGCAATACCGACTCTGCATCAACTATCCTGAAGATTAAGTAATCTCTCTAAACATTTGGCAAGCTACTGAGCATTCTTTAAGAGTGGTGGGATTTATTCTCATACAGACATAGTCTTTACGCCTTAAACTACAAAACCTCATCATTCCACCCCCTGCCCGTCCCCCAGGAATGTTGTGCAATTTCTCTCTTCCACTCTCTCCAACTGATTCCCAGTCAGACAAAACTCATTCTTCCCTTTGGCCTTCCTGCGCCTCTGGCTCCCTCACATCCTTAATGCCACACCTACTTCCTCTCCGCCAAGGGCAAGCCCTTTGCACCCCCATCCCACAGGTGCTCACTTGCTGCAGCACCTCCACTCAGTAAAACAAAGTCTTTTGGAGAAGTTTACCACCAGAGTGCCTGCTACCCTTAAAGAGATAAGAATGACTCATTTTGAAAATACCGGTCAAGTCAAAAAAATAATAATAATCTGGTCCTTTATAGCAATATTCATTATAAAACAAAGGTTTTCATTTAGATGAAATGTTTGGGAGGTCAGATTCTAAAATGAGACTTCACTTAGACTATGTTGCTAGAGATTGCAAACTATGCATTTGACAATTAACTAAGTTTGTTCAGTCACATAGTTCAAGCTGCAGTGGCCTCTTCATGTAAATGCACCAGGCAAAACTGCAAGAACGGAAAGGAGAGGAGCCAAATATAAAATCCCCTGCTCCACGGGCCCGAAGGATCTAATTCCAGTGGTTAACTTGGGCCATGTCTTAATAAGAATGGAGGTGACAAGCACATGCCAATGAGTTTGTCTACATCATACATATTATCTCATTCCAACAGTAACACTACAGAGTGGATATTGTTTAAATTTAGTGTATTATACTATACTTATATTTTATAGCAGATAAGGAAACCAAAGCTCAGAAAGGCTAAATAACTTGCCCAAAGAGTATCATGTTAAGATCAAGTCATTCTTAGCTCTAGTGTCCGAGCTTTTAAGCACTTCAGCTACACCGAAATGGGAAATTTTCTCAGTTGACTTTATTAAAACAGCCAATTCGACTCAGGCCACTCTAGACTGTAACTTCCTGATGAAAGTTTATAACAGCTAATGATGGCCAACTTTTATTGACTGTTCGCTCACATGCCAAACTCTGTTCTAAACATTTCATACGTGTTTACCTCAATCACCTGTACGAGCAAGGCTACTCTCATCCCCATTTCACAGATGACAACACTGAGTAGCCAAAAAACTCACTCATATGTCCAAGGTCACATGGTTGGTTAAAAGCGGAGTGAATCTAAACCCAATCTGGCTCTGCACCTCTCTCCCCCCACACCTCAGGCACCTCTAACTGACAATCAGAGGAGAGGGCAAGCTGTTTCCAGAGCAGCTATATTTTATAAAGTGGTCTTATAATGACGGTTGTATAAGAGAAAGTCTATAGGGTAGCAGGACGGGTGACCATGCCTCTGTGCATGGCTGATGAGGTCAGACACTGCCCCCCATGGGCTGCTCTGCTTGTTTTCCAGGACACCCGGTGTGCCTAAGTGCAAATGAGCTCCCAGGAAGAAAGTCATTACTTAGTCATTCAACTTAACAAAAACAACACATTTCCAAATGCCAGAGTGAATTTAAGAGAGCTGCTAGGCTATCTCCACTCAGGGAAAATAAAGCAGAGGGTTGACAAAATACTTAATGTAAAATACTCTGGTGGAAAAAGCATGCATAAAATACAAAATACCTACTTTGGTGATACTCATTAATTAAACTTCCTAAAAAATTATCCCCTGTCCAGTTTGCATTCCACTCTGGAGACACACATAGACATAGACTAAGGGTAAATTAATGCAGAAGAAAATCCAAATAGGGTGGAAAAGACTTGAAGATGGCCAGTGAACTCAGTATAGCCATTTCAAGGACTATTTTCCATCCTGCATATTTAGGACTGTTTTGCGTTTTACCTAAACTACACAGACCACTGAAACTTGGCTTTTAATGTTAAGTGGAGGTGTCTACACGTAACCTCTAAATCTCAGTCCCCTTTCTCCAGTCTATTCCCCATCCCTCTGGGCCCCTAGAGGCTGTCAAAACTCAGGCCCTTGCCCCAGGGATGTATTTCCTGAGGAATGCCCCAATTCTAAATCTCAGTCCCTTTTCTCCAGTCTATTCCCCATCCCTCTGGGCCCCTAGAGGCTGTCAAAACTCAGGCCCTTGCCCCAGGGATGTATTTCCTGAGGAATGCCCCAATTCTCTACCTTTCTCTTCTTCTCCCCCCATCAAAACTTCCTTCAGAACTGGGACTTTGTAGGAAGTGACTGTAAAAAGTTCACACTCTGCCGACACACATTCTCAGATTTGAATCTGGACCCTACTACCCTTACTGTGTGATCTTGGGCAAGTTGCTCAACATCCCTCAGTGGAAATTTTCTTATCTGTGAAATGGGATCAAACATGCAATGACAGTGAGGGATAAGTGCATGCACCCAAGTAAAGCACTTCTATGCAAAGCGCCTACTAAGGGCTCAAAAATGGGCAGCCGTTTTTATTTGAATAATAACAGAGTTTTCCAATGCAACTTAAACATGTGTCAAGAACAGAAGTGAAGAGAGCAAAGATTTAAAATGTCTTAATCTAAATAAGTATCCAAGTAGTCTTCTGAGTGGGCAGGACAGTCAGGGGAGAGAGGGTCCTGTGTTCAGCGACCACACCTACCAGGGTGTGGCCCCGCTTCCAGGAAGAGCTTCCCCAGCCACCCCGCTGCCTTCCTGCAAGGTCATTTAAGCAAGGTTTGGACTCAGTTCCGTGCAGAAGGCACAGCTTTGCTGTCTCCTTACAGTGGAAAACTGGTGAAAAGCCATATGGTTCGGGACCCTGAAAAGGCTTCAGACTGGACTGTGATTGAGAAACAACTGGGTTACTATTTAAATTACTAACAAATTTCCCTTTTTTCATATAGCTTGAAACCTAACTTCTAGAAATAGTTTTAAAACTAGCAAAAACATAATCTAGAGAGAGAATTTACTTTAAAAATGTTTATTTGGTTCACCAGATTCAAGGCACTGTGCTAAGTGAGAGAATCCTATGTATAATAAAGCTTAAAATAGAACTTCTCAATTATGGCTTAATAATATGAAAGCCAAAACGTTTCTCCAGACCTAAATGATTTCCCACCCTCTCAGAGACCAGAAATATTCAAAATACCTAAGTTAGCTTGTCACAATGTCCTCCTAGAATCCCTTCAGGCCCGTTAAAGGTCACCTATCACTGTCTTTGTTTATAACCAATTAGAGGGGATTCCCCCACTGGAAAAAGTCAGCGCGGACACATTTCCCACTCTTCAAAAAATACTGGCCAAGAGGCACATTCTGAGCTGTTCAAAACTCCTCACTTCTGCTCATCTCCCCGTGACAGAGGGCTCAAGAGCCAAGAAATTTTAACCATAAATTGATGTGTCAATTAGCCAAACGACCATGCCGGCAGTCCACGGCACTACTCGACTCGGACAAAGATCTCCTGTCCTTCCGGATGCACCAAGAGCAGGAGCCTCCATTTTCTGGTGTCGGCAGATCCCTCCTGTAAGCTCTCTGCGGCAGGCAGCAGATGCAAGTGTTTACAGCCCTGGGCGACTCCCGTGTTCCCGTCCACTCGCCCCTGTGCTAGTCTTGCCCTCCCAGCCCTACAGCTCAAAGGCATTTAAACTTGAAAATGGTGCTAAACTTTAAATACCAGATTAGCAGATAACCCGGCTGAGGCTGCATCAAAACTCACACCCCTACACTTGGCCGTGCCTCTTAGCAGGCACCCAGGGGGTCTCGGAGCTTCTGCAGTTTCAGCCTCTTGTTGACATTTAGGGAGGGAGGAGAGGGGAGAACTAACCTTGAAGTACAAAATAAGGTTAGTGGCTAATATTCCAGGAGTATTACCTAGAAACAAACAAGGCATTTCATAAAAGTGTAACTTAGTATTTTCTACAAGGCCTAATTCCACTGTTGCAAAAACAGTGCACTTAGGTTCTCCGTAAGGGCATCTCGTTACAGTCTGTTTTACGCTGCAACAAACGAGAGAATTTTTGCTTTTAGCAGTGGAAGATTGGCAGACAGATGTTTCCCCCTCCCAGCACCGGTTTTATTCTCCCAGCATCTCTGAACTGCCCCTCACGGCCAGGTGACCACGGACTGCCTCTGGGGAAAGGTAAGGACAGGTGTCCTGGGCATCCGGAAGGCGTGGCCGAGGGGCTGGCAGGGGTCCCCCTCGCGCCGGCCCTGCCCGGCCAGGTGCCCCTCTCGGCGCCCCTGCGCGGGGCCCTCTCTCCGGCTCACCTAATGACCAGGAGTTCGTGGAGCAGATACGCAGCTGCGGCCAGCAAAGCTCCCCCGGTCAAGTAAAGTGTTTTCTTCCACCAGGGATCGGAGCCCAGCCCTGCCATGATCCCACCGTAATCCTGCAAAGGGAAAGCGATGATGTCCCCATAAAAGGAGAAGGGCTCCTCGGAGCCGGCCCACCAGCCGAAGAAGGCGACGCTCTGGTTCCAGCTCAGATCCGCCACGCACGGCCTGGACGCGGCGAAGCCAACCCCCCAGTGCATGCTGCGCGGCGGGCTGCGGGCGCCCCTCCCCGGGCTCAGCGGCGCGCTGCGGGCGCCCCGGGCGGCGGGCCTGGCCGGCGGGGCCCCGGGGCCCTGGGCGGCGGCGGCCGCCGGCTCCGCCCGCAGCGGCCTGTCCGCGCCGCTCTTTGTGCCGACGCCTGGAGAAGGCCGCGTGATGTCATTGCTCCCCGGGGCCGGGGACGGGCGGGATACAATCACCTACCCCGCGCCCTGCCCCCGCCCCGCATCTCCGCGGGCAGCCGGCCTCCGCCCCGGCCCGAGCTGCAGGGCCGGCCGCGCCCGCGGGCTCCGCGCCTGCAGGCGGCGCGGCCCGGAACGGCGGGCGCGCCGGGGCCGGGGCTGCGGGGCGGGGGCAGGGCGGCCCCGCGCGTCGGGAGCTGCGGCCGGGCCCGCCGTCGGGCGCCCTCCCCCGCCGCGGCCCGCCTCCGGCCCGCCCCGCGCCCCGCCGCCTCGCCCCGGCCCCGCCCGCGGCCCCGCGGGGTGCGCGGGACTCACCTGCGGCGGCGCCGGGCGGCGGGCCGGGCTTAGGCTGTCCGGGCCTCCGGGAGGGCGCTGCGGGTTTGCATCGCTGATTCCAAACAGGCCTGCCGCGTTACGCCCCGACCTAGGTGCGGGGATGTCTGGGTTGACGACAACAACGCACCCCGGAGAGGTTTCCCCCACCCCCGGCAGAGCCAGCTCGCCTTTCACCTTTGAAATCGCTACCAGGGAATCGGTGATGGTGTTTTCTTTTGTTTTCCTTTTCGGTGCAGAAAACCTGTCAAAACGTGTGCGTGATCAATTTATTTTCCTTTAACTTCATTTTTGAAAAGTTCCTAAGTACAAACATCAGAACCGTGTTTCCTAGAAGTTGGTGATGTACACACACACTTTAGCAAGAGCATAGATAGTCTAAAATTGTTTGGAGGTAGTAAGATGGGTAACTGTTGAATCGCTGTTGTATACTTGATAACATAAGACTGTGTATCAATTTTAGTTAGTTAATTGGAGGAGCTGAAAAAAAATTCAGGTGGGGTTTACAACTCCTAAGGTCAAGGATGGATACAGGGAGCCTCCAGGCTTTTGCGGGACGGAGCAGAGGGCGAAGGGGACTCTCCCATCCTTTCTACGTGCCCTACCACACTAGTCCCTCACAACCGGCAGTGATTCCCTCGTATCATTGAATCGTGGGCTAGTGGCCAATTTGGGAGACAAGCGGAGGGGCCGACCAGGCAGATGCCGGAAGCCCCAGAAGGCGAGGGGGTCCCAACCACTGCCGTATATGTGCACATGACATTTCAGGAGGCAGTCTGTGTGTGTTGGGAAGTGAACCTCCTGTGAGTAGGTTGCAGAGGGTGAAGATGTTCCTGGACAGTCCCTTCTGCGGAGGGCTCCCTGCGCTGCAGGTGAGACCTCAACCCAGGAGAGGGTCCTTGACTCGGATCAAGAAAGAATTCACGAAGAACAAGTGCAGGTAAGAAGGAATTTATTAGAAAGTAAAAGCACATATCAAAGTTGAGCAGTGCCAGGAAGGGTAGCCCATATTTGTGCAGACATGTATGCGGTGGAAAGCAAGACAGAACATGGGAGAAAGGAAAGGTCTCTGAACTGCTCGGCATAGGGCAAAGCCCTTGCCAAATCCTTAAGCCAGGGTCACCCTGAGTCCAGTGTCCACTCAGATCTCCAATGGTGTGGGAATTACATCCCTACCACCCCAGAACTGGGGTAGCCCTGGGACACTGGATGGAGTGAGTTTATGTTCTTATAACTTTCCAAAACAAAGAAAAGGAGACATTGGGCCAGGCTGCCAAAGAACATATTATGGCCGCAGTCCCATCTGGGCCACCCCAGTGACAGGAACTTGCAAGCCCCAAAATCAGAGGTCCCCACAGCTGCTTTTCTATTCAGGGATAAAGAAAAAATTTGCACTTAGGACTAGAAAAGTGAATGAAATAGGAAAGTAACAGACACAGTCATTGTTGGAAAGGGGTCTCTTATTAACCTCCCAAGAAGCTTAGAAGGATTCAGACAAAACACAGTAAGCTAAGCAGCAAGGTTTTAGTTAAAGCCAAATGCACATGTGAAGAAAGGGAAGTGTGGGCAACCTCTGAGGAGAGGTGGGCTTAAAAGTTTAGAGTTTGGGTTTTTATAAAACCTTTTGGGTAAGGGTCAGTAAAGGCATGATGTATACAGGCGGTTAATAATTCCTTCAAAGGACACACTTTGAAGTCCTTAATAGGACTGTCGTGTTGATTTAGATCTCAGCACTTTTTTAAAGTATCATCAGTATACAATCTTTTGATGATTTCAAATACATAACAGAGGTTTAACTTTCACCCCTCACCCCCATTCTTTAAATTTATAACTGTCATGTGTATATGCATATATAATTTTGTAACTACCATCCAACATTTTCCATAAATGCTAAACTCCATCAGTTCTTTTTTGCAAGCACCTTTTAAAAACCCATGGATTTATTTTCCTTTTTTCTTCTTGTGTTCTGTATTCCCTTCTGATCAAAGCAACTTTTTTAAATTAATCATTGATATACAATCTTACAAGGGTTTCACATGAACAACATTGTGGTTTCAACATTCACCCATATCATCACGTCCTCACCACCACCCCCCCACAGCAGTCAGTCTATCAGCGCAGTAAGAAGTCATTACTTGTCTTCTCCATGCTGTACTGCCTTCCCTGTGACCAACCTATACTGTGTGTGCTAATTATAGTGCCCCTTAAGCCCCTTCTCCCTCCCTCCCCACCCACCCTTCTCAAACCCTCCCCTTTGGTAACCACTAGTCCCTTCTTGGAATCTGTCAGTCTGCTGTTGTTTTGTTCCTTAAGTCTTGCTTTGTTTTTATACTTCAGATGAGTGAAGTCATCTGGTACTTGTCTTTCTCTGCCTGGCTTATTTCACTGAGCATAATACCCTCTAGCTCCATCCATGTGGTTGTAAATGGGAGGATTTTCTTTTTATGACTGAATAATATTCCATTGTGCATATGTACCACCTCTTCTTCATCCATTCATCTACTGTTGGACACTTAAGTTGCTTCCATATCTTGGCTATTGTAAATAGTGCTGCAATAAACTTAGTGCTGCATATGTCTGTTTGAATCGGGGACCTTGTTTTGGTCCCTCTTTCAGGAGGGTTTCTGGAACCTCAGAAACCTGTTTGTGGTTGCTGGACACGCAGCCTGTTTTAAGAGTCAGGAAAGATGAGTGGAGATCTTACGTGATTTCAGTGAGCTCTACGTCCATTCAACAAGAAACAAGACTCCAGATCTACAGAAGTGGAAACATCTGGTGTCTGTATTTACCTTGTTAACTCCCCACCCACATGCTCAGCCCTGCTCACATCATCTTGAGAACTTATTTATCTTGGGTGAAACTGGTGCCTTTTAGCTCCTAGACAGTAGCTCATTTATATACGCTGTATCCTTTTCTCACTGGGATACAAGAGGTTTATTGATCTCACAATAAATTCTTTTGCTTGATTTGCGAGCAAGCGGTCAGTGTCAGGATGTTTTTTGAATGTTATTTGCATCTCATGAGTAATTGTCAAGACTCTCCCTTGTAATAGTCACATTTTAAGTAAACAAAGGCAATTATGTGTTGGCTGTACTCAAACTTTCTTACATTTGATCTTGTTTCCATCTTCATTTCTGTATTAACATTTTTTTTTAGGATCTTAGATTTTTGGACCTACTTTTATAAGCCTATAAAGATGTAAATATGAATATGTTTTATGGAATTGGAGGGACCTCAACAGTCCAGGTTTAAAAATACCTGTATTTTTTACTTGCCTGGCTGGCCCCTGTGCCTGGTTACGAAGCAGTCTCTCTACTTTGATGCACCTCAATATTATGTGTGCAAAGTCAATGGTGGCACAGAAGCCCTCATGAGGGTCTCTACCAACCATCAACATTTTTGGCATTTTGGCTTCCTGCCTGGGATAATTTTTTATGCGTAGTATTTTAAACTCAATACTTCTCTTCAATTGATCATTAATCCTAGAGCAAAACCTGAAGCTATAATAAAGTAACGATATAATTTTATTTAGGGTCTTTGAAGCATTTTATTAAGTTGCAATTAGTAGCATGTGGTTGTTTTAGTCCTTGAAGGGCAATGAAGCTCTAAGAGAATGAAGGCAAAGAGCTCCAATGCTAGGCTTCTTCGAGCTCTGCTGTAAATACTTCTGGAGATGCTACCGTGCATACAGACAATTCAAACATGCGCTGATGATCCAGTTTACATGGCGATGCTGCTACTATGGCCATACAATGGCCCAGACTTGGGTACAAATATGAAAGTGGCCAAGTGCACAGGATCAGGAATTGGACTGCCTGCATGCAGATCCTGGCTGCATCCTACTAGCTGTGTGCTGTTCAACATATGGAACGTCTCTGTGCAATGGAGTGTTCAGTGGTGCCTGCCTCGCAGGCTGCTGTGAGGGGTAAATGAGCTAATGCATGCACAGCACTTAGCACTGCACCTGGCACCTCATAAATGCAAAGGAGGATAGTCAGTGGCCATAATTATTTATGAATTCTTTTTAAAAAACAATATGAGAATTTTATATTTCCCGATATAGAATTTCTGTTCTAGGCTAATGCAATATCACGATTTCACTAACGTTTGCTCCTTTTTATTTGAAAAATGTTCAAACTTACAGAAAAGGAATAGGAAAATAAGCGCCTGTGTGTGCCCCTCATCCAAATTCACCAGGTATTTAAGTAAATGTTGCCACAGTGACTTTGTTTATACACAAGTATACATACTCCCAGGAACCTAAATAAATACAGCTTTCCTTGAAGTTCCGAGAAGTACTTAATCTATCTTTATCTAGCCTCACTTTCCCCTTATCCTTTTCTAACAATATGGCCTGTTTTCATTTTTGAGTCTTCTGAATATAAGGCATAGACATCTTACTCTTCAATCCCTAAGTTCTGAACTACATGCAGTTCCTAAGACTAAGGACATTTTCTTTCATAAACATCATGTTATCACACGTAAGAAAACTCGTAATTCCATAGTTGTCTCATATCCAGTCCTATTCAAATTTATGCAATTGTCTAAAAAACATTGTATGGCTGTTTTGCTGTTGCTGTTATTTTTGATGTTCTGTCCAGAACCTAGTCTAGCTTCTTGCATTTCACCAGCCACCTTCAGCCTACATCCCAGTTCAGGTCAGTTACCGTGTAGAACATCTCACTTTGGGATTTGTCTGGCTTTTCCCTAGTGGTAAGTTTCTTTTAGCTTGTTCCCCTTTTCCCTGTAGCTCCGGCTCCCTAGATCTAA